AAATATGTTTGTGAGCCATCTCTCTCTCTCTCTCTCTCTCTCTCTCTCTCTCTCTCTCTCTCTCTCCCTCCTAATACCTCTTTTATTTGAACATGGGGGCACTGTAGTTTTTGGAGTAGATGCCACACAGAAATAACATTTGGACCTCTTCACAGCCGTGTACAAACTGAGTCTTTCAAAGGCTTACAGACACAGAGGAGCAGGTCATCACAGAAATTAAGTTTCTTCAGATACTTAGACCAGGTATGAAAATGTGTTATTATTTTACAACATTAGTTATTATTTTTAATCAGTATGATTTATCCTCAAACATTATGTGATATAGACAGTATATATTTTTTTCTTCTTTTACTTATTTGAATATATAGTGCATTCTATAATGCCATATTTCATTTATATTGAGTAACATAACCTGTTTAATATTAGCAATTCCAATGAGTCATAAAATATAATCTAAATAATTTTTATGTATATGTTTACATTTTTACTATAATAAGCATTTATATTTACTCATATTTATATAAGCATTTACACATCACAGTAGTAATTATTATTAATTAAGTATGTACGGATAAATAGATCTTAAAACTGAAGTACTGAAGGCTCTGAGAGTCCCAAAGGCCTTTAAAAATATATTTAAAAAAAATTAACATTAAAGTATTAGTTTGATACATTATGACTTGTCGTAATCTTGTGAATTAGAAATATTGAAAACCTTAAACTTATTTTTGGGGTGTGCAATAAAATGTTTAAGGAATATATTAAAATATTTTGAAGGGACAATTGTATAATTATTTTAAACAATATTTTACACTTACAAGCAATAAATAGTTAAAGCAGTAATAAAAAAGAAAGTAGAGAGACACATCACATGATGATACTGTGTAGTTGTAGGAATTCTTGGTTAAACCTTTCCTGATTGTCAACCTGAATCATTTTGACAGTAAGTCAAAATGAGAGGAAATACTACCAGTGACCTCTTGTTCACTAATTGACACTTAATGTGTCTTATTATATAGTCTTCGGAGTGCTCTCCATCTGTTACTAACTGACTGGATCTTCACTTGACCATGAAGTCTCCCATGGATCTGCACCCATGACATGTTTCAATCCACCCTCCCAAATATGCCTTTGTTCCAGCACATAGGAGCAGATGAACCAATGTCTAATCTATTGCCTTTTCCTGATGCACATTGTGAACAGACAATGCCAGCTGAATTAGTGGGACTATTGCTTCCACTGAGCACTTGATATGAATGGCAGGATCCATTCTGACAGGGCTAAACCTAACTTCCTAGCACGGTTATATGGCATTTTAACCAGTTCATTACACATTTCCATACGCCAGAAGGCCAGGGCTTTGAAGTTGTTTTTTGAGTGATTAAACGTGAAAAAAGAAAAAAAAAAACACTTTAGATTAGAGAAAAATCTTTATTTAACCCTTAGTTATTCCTCACTTACGGGTCACACTTGTGATCCAAAACAGCCTGAAGTGTAATTTTTTTAAAATTAATGTAAAAATATATTCCCTAGTTATTTATTATAGTATTATTTATTCATAATTACTTACTTTTATTAGATTTTTCAATTTGGATGTATATTTATACATTATCAAAGATGACTTTATCATGGCTGATTAGTAGATTGTACACCAGAAAATTGCTCTGTATTTTTCATATATCTGTATTTTTATATTTCTTATTTCCTGTGGTGGTCATTTCTGACTATGAAGATCACAAGTGTGACTATTTTCTAAGACCATATAACCTTTTCTAATCATGTCCACATTTATGTGTGTGTGTTCACATAGCAAGTGCCACAAAAGTCACCAAGTTTGGTCTTCATCAGTACCATTCTAATGAAAAAAACATATGTAAAAAGTCACAACGTAACATTTTTCAGTCTAAAATGACTGAAGACCACCAGAGGGGTTAAAACATTAATGGTCATTAATCACATAATAAAAATAATTCAAGGACAATGTTTGTTATTAAAGTGTTACACAGAAATAAAAGTGATTAATTCTGTATGTGTGGTGCAGAATATAAAATTACAGACTGATACATTTTTTAATAATTAGTTGTTTTTTTTGAGAACTATCTTTGACATTTTTAACAGTGCCAAAAACGGACACAAACACCTTTGATGACGATAATGTCTTTTTACTACAGCTTGTGTGATATTATGGAGACCAAACAGATGTGTTTCCTGTTTACTTGGGCTGATCATCTATCTGGGCTCTGTGGCTTCCTTCAGCATCAGCCCAATGACAACAGGCCTACGCTCTGCCGTTTCCGCCACACACAGCAGCAGCATATTGGGTGGTACTCAGCGTGCTGTGACCTTTGACCACCTTCTAGTCAACATTGGTGAAGACTTCAATCCAGAGACGGGCACTTTCCGTTGCCGCCTGCCTGGTGCGTACTACTTCTCATTCACAGTGGGAAAGTTCCCAAAGAAGATGCTGTCGATCATGCTGGTGAAGAACGGGATGGAGGTGCAGGCCATTGCATATGATGGATACCAGAACCAGGGCCGCAAGGTTCTGAGCCAGAGCGTGATGGTTAGTCTGAAACCTATGGAAACAGTGTACCTGCTCCTTCAGGACAATCCCCACTACGCCATCTACAGCAACGTTGGACCATACATCACATTTAGTGGTTATCTTGTCTATCCAGACTCTACATCCTCTGTTGGATATCTCAATAACCACCTATCTCCTCCAGGCCTCCATCTTCCAGGTTGTCCTCCCCCTGTAGATGCTTATTATGATTGGAGAAGAAGAACAACCAATGAGGAACCACGTTCTGCATTTTCAGTGGCAAGAACTACATCAGCGCTGGGAGAAAGCAGAGTGCGTCGTGAAAGAGAAGCTCTCAAGTTTGACGTGGAGTATGTCAACATAGGCGGCCATTTTAACATAACATCCGGACGTTTTACCTGCCACTTCCCCGGTGCATATTACTTTGCATTTACCGTGGGAAAGCACCCTCGTTGTGCGGTTTCAGTGAAGCTGATGATGGGAAGAGGGGAGGTTCGGGCCATGGTGTTCAATGAGGACATGTCACGGCGGAGAGAGATGCAGAGTCAGAGTTTGTTGTTGTCACTGAAAAGAGGAGACAGTGTCTGGCTGTACAGTCAGCAGGATGACGGATATGCCGTTTACAGCAACCAGGGACGATACACAACCTTCTCTGGTTTCCTGGTCTACCCTGATGGTGAATCCATGAACAGAGACAGAACTTACCCCTGAGAACCAAAGCCAGCTGCAGTACTGATTAATTCATAGTTATGCCTTCAGACTTTTGTTTTTGTACTAAATATGTTTGTTTTTGTACCTCTTAACATAGTACTATTGTTATGTGCTTCTACGCATCACAATCATAATGTAAATAAATATTGTATATTTTTTTTGAGGGGGGGACTTGAACTTCATTAATGACTTAACAAGCATTTGGGCTTTTTACACTTGAATGAGTTAACCCTGGGTCATTCTAAACCCAGGGTAAACGGAATCCTGCTTTAACAATTAATCATGGGTATTAATACGCTATCTAAACCCTGGGTTAAAGTTCTTTTTTGCATATTTGCGGTGTCAGTTTTATTGATTGGACGAATTCAGCATGTGACCTGTTCACGTAAAGGCTCTTGCTATCAAGTTTTACTATCAAGTGTTTTTTTTTATTTTTTAATGGACCTTTTTCGAACTATAAAGGTCAAACGGTCTCTTCTTTACTTCAAGTCACGTGTTTTCGGTTACGATCACAAGTTACGATTCGGCGTCTGTTGTTAAGCCCAGCCGTAACATTATACTAACACTGTTTCACACTGTATGTGTTTGGCACCGCAATGTGGGGGTAACACCTGCTCCAGAGCAGAGTTTATAACCCTGGGAAAAAGCGGTGCTAACCCCACTTCTAAATTACAAGTGTGAAACATACTTTCACCTGGGGATTAGATTGACGATAACCTGGGGTTAAGAGCAATGCAAAAAAAACCTTACATATGGTTAGCAGATCATTAGTTAACGTACGTTAAATTGGAACTTTATTCAAATATATTCATATTTAAATGTAAATGAACTACTGATCTGTTAAGCATCATATAATTTTTGTTAACTTATTAATTAACATTATTATAAAGTTACTATTTCTTGTAAGCTATAATTGTTTAGCAAGTTATATTAGTGTGACTGTCTCATATAGTTAGAAGAAAAATCTACATAGACACAGTTGATGCTGATTTTATTGTTCCATTGTATTTACTATTGTTAACAAGTAGTACTTTAACAAATATTAAAAGTGTCTGAAATCTTCTTCATGGTTTATTTTATTTTATATTTTAGCACAAAACTGAGATCTATATGTGTTTTGTTTCAAAGTATTCAAGGATTCATAGTTATAATGCTTATGTTTTTCCTCTTTATGAATTTTATTTTACATCACATAAAACAATAAAATAATTAGTTATAGCATTAAAAAGCCCCAACCAATGAATGGCGCTCCGTTTGTCTTCTCAGACAGAGAAGCAAGTATACAAGTATTCACAGAAACTGAACTTCTGTTCAATTACATTAAAACTTCCCGAGTCACAATGAGAGACATTTTCAAAAAAGCATATATCATTTGAATATATTTAATATTTTTGTACTTACACTCTACAGTAAATTTGTACAAACTAGATTTAAAAATATTTCTATATGACTATCAATTTAACATGTTATTTTAGTGTGGTTAATTTTTAAAAAAGAAAGAAAGAAATATAGTGGCATGGTATATGGAATGGAAATAATAAAGTGGAAATAAATAATATAATAACTAACAAACAATACATAATTGGCCATTTCTTGTATTGTCTTTAATATTCAATGCTAATATTCAATATGTGATTGATTGTAATTATTTGATTACTACTTGGCATATTATGTAATTAATTCAATAAAAAATCATTTAATCAGTTAATTGGCAGGCATGATTGTTTTACTCTACAACAGAACATTCAGGTTTATACACTAAATAAATATTCAGAACATTCTATTTGCACTATATTAGTATCCACCGGACTATAAACATTAATTATTAAATACAAAACATTATACTGAAGTTATAGCCATAGCAGAGGGGTTCTGAAAATATAAGGCTGTGTCTGGGCCATTCATCTCAGGCTGGTGGTTTGAGTCCAGGATCTGTGCAACATGGGGGACATGGTTCATTAAATATATATATATATATATATATATAATAACATTTAAAACATCATTTTGTGTGTGATTCGTTGGCTCACCTGATGTGACTGCTTTCTATAAGATTTAATTAACATTATTATAAAGTTACTATTTCTTGTAAGCTATAATTGTTTAGCAAGTTATATTAGTGTGACTGTCTCATATAGTTAGAAGAAAAATCTACATAGACACAGTTGATGCTGATTTTATTGTTCCATTGTATTTACTATTGTTAACAAGTAGTACTTTAACAAATATTAAAAGTGTCTGAAATCTTCTTCATGGTTTATTTTATTTTATATTTTAGCACAAAACTGAGATCTATATGTGTTTTGTTTCAAAGTATTCAAGGATTCATAGTTATAATGCTTATGTTTTTCCTCTTTATGAATTTTATTTTACATCACATAAAACAATAAAATAATTAGTTATAGCATTAAAAAGCCCCAACCAATGAATGGCGCTCCGTTTGTCTTCTCAGACAGAGAAGCAAGTATACAAGTATTCACAGAAACTGAACTTCTGTTCAATTACATTAAAACTTCCCGAGTCACAATGAGAGACATTTTCAAAAAAGCATATATCATTTGAATATATTTAATATTTTTGTACTTACACTCTACAGTAAATTTGTACAAACTAGATTTAAAAATATTTCTATATGACTATCAATTTAACATGTTATTTTAGTGTGGTTAATTTTTAAAAAAGAAAGAAAGAAATATAGTGGCATGGTATATGGAATGGAAATAATAAAGTGGAAATAAATAATATAATAACTAACAAACAATACATAATTGGCCATTTCTTGTATTGTCTTTAATATTCAATGCTAATATTCAATATGTGATTGATTGTAATTATTTGATTACTACTTGGCATATTATGTAATTAATTCAATAAAAAATCATTTAATCAGTTAATTGGCAGGCATGATTGTTTTACTCTACAACAGAACATTCAGGTTTATACACTAAATAAATATTCAGAACATTCTATTTGCACTATATTAGTATCCACCGGACTATAAACATTAATTATTAAATACAAAACATTATACTGAAGTTATAGCCATAGCAGAGGGGTTCTGAAAATATAAGGCTGTGTCTGGGCCATTCATCTCAGGCTGGTGGTTTGAGTCCAGGATCTGTGCAACATGGGGGACATGGTTCATTAAATATATATATATATATATATATATAATAACATTTAAAACATCATTTTGTGTGTGATTCGTTGGCTCACCTGATGTGACTGCTTTCTATAAGATTTAATTTCTGTGTCAGCATATGCCACAAAATGGATTAATGTGTAGATTCTGAAACAAAAGAACATAATCTATTTCTTATATATACTATACATAAAATAGGATTAAAACAGGATGATATATACCCATACTAAAACTGGTTTTACATTTATAATGTATAATATACATTAATAGTATAATGTATAATACACTTGATTTTCTACTTTTTTTTGTTGAAATACTGAAATAAAATAGGTCTGATCATTTTTAGCATATAAAACAAAAATGTCTCTTTATCAGTAATTGTGATTTTATTCTTGTGTGCAAGTTTAGTTACCTGTGGTAAAGCATTGCAACAAACTGCATTAACAGCAATAATGCGAAGCTCAGTAACATCAGTGCGACTGGATCTAGGGAAAACACTTCTGTTGTGGAATGAGTCCCATTGGGATAGATTTTTAGGATCTTTATGGAGATTGAGTCGCCAATTGCCTGAAGGAAGAAAGTTGCCACCAGCCAAAGTGCATTGCAGAAGAAAAAGGCAAATGTAACCTTTATGGAAAAGAAAAAAACAAATATTTACTGTTCCAGAGCAAATATTTTAGACAAAACCACATAAAAAGTACTGTTTACATGCTGGCATACTGGCTTAGCTTATTTCGGAGTTCTCTCAGATCATCAGCAATTTTTTCCTGTTGCTCTTTATTTACTTTAAGAGGTTCCAGATATTTCTTCTGCAGTTCTCTCCAGAAATCGATTTCATCCTGGAGCATGTGAAAAGAAAAAGAGGCATTAAAGCATATCAGTGACAATTTACATAATGCTAATATCTAATCAGCAACACAATGCATAAACGCATGACATGGTCAAAAAATTCAGTTGTTGTTGTAGTTTAGTGTATTGAAACGGTAGTTTAGTGTGGTCAAATGATAAATTTAAAGTATTAATATGCAAATTACATATCTGACATACAAAAAAAAGCTGCAAAATGTATTATGGCACAATAATACATGGCTACTTTTGAATAATACAATAAAAAAACATCTAAATAATAAATAATATTTAAATGAAATTATAAAATAATATAATATAATGAATAATTGATGACTGGCCTTCGAATTATTAGAAAATAGTGCACACCCGAGGTGGTGATGCGGCCACAATGCGAAGCGGGTGTGCATTATTTTCTAATAATTAAACGGCCCATCATCAATTATTCATTATATTATATTATTATTATACTATAGCATATATCAACGGACTGGAGTTACCACACCAGTGTTTCCCGCACATAGACTTTATTTGGGCCTGCCGCCCAAGTATATTAATGGCCGCCCAAGTATATTTGGTAACACATTTTTTGCTTTTCATAATTTTTATCCTGTTTACTTTTTTATCCACCCAAGATGATGAAACCATCTGCAATCGATTTAGAGGCCGTCTCCAGTGGTGTATGCCGTTGCTAAGCAATCATGAGCAATCCTAAACCAGTTAGACTTACCAAAGGGAGTGCAGATTCATCCAAGGGAAAGTCGTAAGATTTCATCTGCAGATGTTCAATCCAAGCTTTTGGAATTAAACACATATTAGTTTTAATGGTAGTCACATTCAATGACTCCACCTAGAATATTACGATATTAAAGGGATAGTTCACCCAAAAAAGAAAATTCTGTCTATCACTTAGACCTACTCACTGTTCCAAAGCTCTATGAATTTCTTTCTTCTGCTGAACACAAAAGAAGATATTTTGAATATTGAGGGTAACCAGTCAATTTCTAGTTGACATCCATAGAATTTATATTTCTTCTTTATTCTTCTTCTTTTATGTCCAACAGAAGAAATAAACTCATAAAGTTCTATGTCCAAATTATGGATTTGTTTCGTATAATCAGGCCTTTTTTTCTACTTGACAAGATGTTGATTGATGGACTGGAGTCATGTGGATTCCTTATGGATTATTGTGATGTTTTTATCAGCAGTTTGCAGGGGTGAGAAAGTGATGTAATGCTAAATTTCTTCAAATCTGTTCAGATGAAGAAACAAACTCATCTACTTATACTATACTAGATAGCCTGAAGGTGAATACATTTTCAGCCAATTTTCATTATTGGGTGAACTATTCATTTAATGCCCATGGTTTTGTGCTTAGCATATATGGGCCTGTTGTTCAGGCGTCCTCATAACATTTAGCCTGTTATACTAAATATACTGTTTATATATAATTTCACAGTGGTAAACATCAGTTTACAGATAAACACATATATTTGGGCACAAAACAAGAATGGTTACATGATTCTCGAAAAGTGAAAAGAGTGACCGCAGGTAAGGCAGTACAGATTTTGAGAACCTTAAAATATTAGATGAATCACACAGAACACAAACAGACATAAAATAAAATAAAAAGCCACAAAATCCTCAGATGAAGGAAAGCAGATTTTAAAAAAAGGTGCCAAGTAGCAAAGGCCAGGTAAACATTTACAAAGGCATTACAATATCAAAATGTGTACATCAATCCTTTCTTGAAGAGCTGATAATGTCTAAAAATCTTCTTATTTCCTGTTTTACGTGAAGTTTGACAATATATTATGTTTAAATTACATACTTTAACAGTCCACTTCTCTGAAAAGTGTGTAAACTCCTCTCTTTGGCAGCTTAGTAAAAGTCTCTGGCATTTCTCCTTCACTTGCCCATTTTTTGTACGTTTTCTCTTCCACAAAGTCACTGAACGTCCCAGATCTCACACAGGAGGGGGGTGAACTTGTGGTCGCTCATGCGCCATGACTCCAGCATTTCGTCATGGTGGTGGTTGAGGGTGCGAAGCTCAGTCAGACGACCGAGAAGCTGTGCAAAGTGCTGGGGTTCGTGGGGATGCTGTAGTTTACAGACCTTCCTCAGCACCTCCAACATGGGCTCCTGCAGACGCTCTACTGCCTGCTGGTCCTTTACATATGGTCTGTCTGTTGTTTAGATAGAACAGTTTCAGTCATATGAAACAAATTTATTTCATTGTGGCCTTCTGAAGCATGAAACAATGACAAAAATGTGCTTTTCAGTTGTGACCTCCGTTAATCATTAACCATTTATTACCTTATTATTGGAACAGTACAAACTGATTACATAAAAACCTTGGTTTTAAATGGGTTAAAATGTTTCCATCACATGATGCTTATGCATTTGCATTGATGGTTACTTGGAACATGTCTGCCTTAGTAACTAATAGATTGGGCTCAGTAAGATTTATTTATTTTGTTGTTAAATAATTTTATTCAGCAGGGACACATTAAATTGAACAAAGGTTACGGTAAAGACATTTATAATGTTACAGAAGATTTCTATTTCATATAAATGCTGTTCTTTTGAAATTTCTATTCATCATTCTAAAAAAATGTATTATGGTTTCCGCAAAAATATTAAGAAATACAACTGTTGTCAACATTGTAATAATAAGAAATGTTTCTTGAGCACCAAATCAGCACAAAAATGATTTCTGAAGGATCATGTGACACTGAAAACTGGAGTAATGGCTGCTGAAAATTCAACTTTGCCATCGCAGGAATAAATAGCATTTTAAAATATATTAAAATTACTTTATTTTGGATCAAACAAATGCAGCCTTGGTGAGCATAAGAGACTTCTTTCAAAAATATATAAACAATAAATAAAATACCAGCCCCAAACTTTTGAGCAGTCGCAATTTTTCATTTGCCTTGATTAGCAATAAATTAAACCAGGCTAAACTAATTTAACTAAGCTGATAAACTAACATTGATCTGCATTCTGAAACTTTTAAAACTTCTAAAACATTAGGTGACAGATGGCAGCTCACCTGGTGAGAGGATTGTGATAGCAGTGAGGAGAGCATGTTCCTCTTGCATCATCTGCAGCTCCCCAATGCTTTTATAGAAGTTAAACATAGGTGTGATAAACTCTTCAGATATCCCTGTGGAGGAAATAAAGATATTCATAAAGATATACACCAAGCTTTACCTTTTTTTTTTTTGGTAAATCACTCTAGTATTGAATATCTAGTACAACGTCAGTTGTCAAGCCATTTATTACCCCAGCCACCTGTAACCACTCCAAAACATATTTATTTAAACCTAAGAGACCAAGGCAGGCACATATTTACATGCCAGCTATGATTTAAAGTTAAATGTCATGCCTTCTTTACTAGACTAAAGATCACATTAGTTAGTACATACTACACTCAGCTGTGGCACTGTAATCTTACGTCCATAAATTCTGTATATGTCTGAGCTTCAATAAAAAGATCTTATAGGCACACTTCAAGTATTCAGTAGTAAAACTATCTTTGTTGAAAGTACGAAATTAAGTGTATGTTTTATAAATGACCTGTATCATTCTGAGGCCTCAGGGTGGCAGTGTTTCCTATTTTTAAAAGTAACAGTGAGTGTCCTATGGATTTACTCAATCACACAATTTCCTCTTAGAAAGAATCTATCCATCCATAATATAAAATGTAGGCCTATTACATTTCATCTTATGCTCTTTTTAATCTACTTTTGTCTTTTTGTTGATTATATGTTGAATTTGCCAGTGAGGTGAGAAAGTAAATTTAAAATACACTCTTAAAAAGAACTATTCATATCTCGTGCAAGTAAATTTATCTTGTTGAAGGAAAATTCATATATTCTGTCTGGACAAAAATGAGAAATAGGACAACATATATCTTAAGAAGATGATTTTGCTGTGTATTCACTGTCTGCTTTGGAAGAGACTTTCTGAAACTCCCTCAGTGTGCAATGGTAGATCATCAGGGGTCGTGACCTTATTGCTTTCTATTGTCTGTTAGGTCAGAGCTGATCTGATTCTGGCCTCGGATCCCTACAGCTGTGCGTTTCCACATTCAGTGGGATTCTCAGCAACAGCAGTTCATTTGAACCCTGTCTTTGAAGGGCTTTCCTGTTTTGTGCGAGGCCTTTGTCTTTATCATTATCATTGATATAATTATCATACTGTACTTTACTGGCTATGTGAGCTGAGAGCTCTTTTCTGATGTAAAGCATTCAATGTGAAGAGCCATAAGGGTTTGGTTTACAGACCGACCAATCAGGGAATCCTTCAGTGGGAGATGACACACTGAAGACAGCAGGGACATTAAAAACATGCCTTAATTCAGCTTACCATAATGTTAATATTAAAGAAAAACAGTGCTAGAGTGTTACAAACTCTTCAAAAACTCAGTATATAGTCGCCACCCCCGAGAGAGGAAATGATCGCAGCATGTGGACTCCTTTCACAGTTTCATTCATTTCCCTTTAGATGAAAGGATAACCTTTGTCATAACTTTCCAAAAAAAAGGAGGGAGCAAAAAAAAAAACAGACGCATCACGAAGGCTTCATGCCAGAGAAATGTCAGAGGCGATGAGTGGGGACAATAGGCCTCTCAATGTTTAGATAGAGAACAATAGTCTCTTTAAACAGTGCGTCTATTTCTCCCCCTCTGGCCTTTTGCGTGAATATTCCTGAGCCTGTACTGGAGAGAAGAAGAGTGATGGACTCAAACAGTCTGTGCCACTCTGCATTCATCTGCCTGTTTAGAAATATTACTAACTGGATGGTCCGTCGCAGCTTTTTTTAAATCTTGAGAGGCTGAAAGCAACTTTGAAATAAAGGTGATTCAGTGTGCAACATAGGAGGGCTGTATTAAGATGCTTTTAAGAGACCGAATTGATCATGCATCCTTCCTTTAACCACAGCTCTTCAAAATCTGATTAGATGTCATAAAGCAGAAGATATATTGACCGGCTATATGAGGGCTTTCCTCTTTGTGCTGTTCCTGGCAGTCATCCAGTGCTTAGACTTCTGTGAAACCGAAACCAGTTGGACTTTAGTGTCCTTTAACACATGTAATGTACACCACAGGATTATCAAGATGGCAAATTTCCTGTCGTTATTAAGGGCGGACAGATACATTATTAATGTAACGTGCCTAGTGAACTTTATGGACTTTGTTCTGGGCTCTGAGGATCTCAGCAAGTATGTGGCATACTAGTTTGAAACCCAATCCCAGAGCCATGATTCCTTAGAACGCGCCAAAAAAGCAGATAAAGGTCATGAGTCGTGCTGTAAATTATGCTGCAATCCAAATAATGAGCTCACCACTCCTTCTGATCCTGTCTTCTAGTACCTCTGTGTGTCCGTTGGGCAGCTTCTTGGAGAAGACCTGGGCTGACCGCAGAAACATTGCCTCTATGGCAGAACCTTTTAATAAAGCGATCTGATCTTCATGATCCAGAGATTGAAAACCTGCTCAGAATACAAGAACCCGATAAGTATGTTTGGACTGGAGGTCTGGAGGACTGGAGTTATTGCATTCTCCTCATAGGACATCACTGTCATATAAAAAGTGTCACATGACCGTTTCTTGAAGTATGTGATTTTATTTTATTTTCAAACAAGTGGTATAGAAACTGCAATAGAAATAGCTCTTCTAGAATTTGAAAAACAGTACCTGGTATATTTTTTGTGAACTCAACCAGCACCTGAATGTGACTAGTAGCCATTTCAGTTAGTAGAAGGAAGTTTTCTTCTGCGTTAAATTGCTCTTGTAGCTGTGGACAGGTTAGAAGGGGGAAAAAGCATGCAAATAAGCCACTGTTTTGTGACATTGGGGTGGTGATAACCTCAGTTACGTAATGATTTAACAGCGATAAGAACAGGCAAAGTTGTTTACTGACTTTAACAGTAGCATTTGGCTGCTTTGTGCATTAAAGAATCATAAAAAGATTTAAAGACATAAAAAGTTGATCTAAAATAAGATAAAAAAAAGATTTTTGAGAAGACATACCAGTTTTCTCGCCATATCCTGAGGAATGCGATGTTTGTTGTGAGCGTCAACTATATAACGTATTAAAGCCTGCTGGTCTTGGCTCAGTTCTATATTCTCCTGAAATGAGAAAATGTGCCAAAAATCATAAATTTATAAACCTGTTTGGATTTGGAGGCATTTGGATCATGGACAATCCAGCTATGTGGAATAAGAAATAAAGATTAGTGGTGTCATTTTTTTAATAACTAGCCAACTTTTGATCCTGCACAGCCATTTTGCAACCCTTCATCATAAAATAATCTTTTAGAAGTAACCGTATATGTGAGCAAAGGTGAGAAGAATGATGGTGAAGAGAATCATTGAGGTTGCCCTTTAAACTTTTATAGCACTTCAATAAAAAGTTGCCTTAGAACACCCTTAACTTTAGTTTGCAATTATGCCTGAAAAGTTATACTGTAACAAGCATGGCACCATGAAAGCTGTAAAGCTGAACAATAAAAAAAAAATGACAGTATTTTTGTTTGCTTTGAAAGTGGAAGTTTTCTAGAAAATTATAATAATAACCCAATCAGACAGCACATGTGTTCTTACCTTGGAGGGTTTAGTGGTAGATACAACTTGTTTAGCATCTTTACTGTCACCAACATCATCCCCTGTACTTTCATCAGATGAGGCCTTTGTGTTTTTCCTCAGCCTTTTGGATTTGCACTGGATTTCGGTTAACAAGCCTGAGGATGCAAATACAAAATACATAAATTAGATACAGATTGGTCAGATTGACTTTTTACATGCAAACTGTTTTTCTCTAAGGTTTACTGTATGTACAATCTATTTTGGACTCTGTTTTATGCTACAAGAATTAGTCTTAGGAAACAATAAAAATGTAATATTTTATCTGTTTCAGCAATATTTATGTAAAACTCAATACATTATTCATGAGCAACAAAAGCTTAGAAAATACAGCTTCTTCTTTTCTTCCACAGACTAATCTCAAGTAAATCAATATTATTTGAACCCAAACCATCTCATATCATTTGTTGCCCAAAGAAAACATTGTACAGCTAGTTACTATTTGACTATTTGACTACTGTATTCCAGTTAATAACTTTTATTGAAAACCGCTGTTCTAGAGTTTAAAGTGTCTCATCTGATTTCACAGTATGTGTGACTCTCGGGCTGATATATTAGTTGAACAGGAATAAGTTTTACAATGTTTGCAGTGTTCTTACACTCTGCCAGCATGCCCATCTCTTTGCACATCCTGAGTCGACACTCTTGGCATTTCCTGCGCATGTACATGTCCATCTCACAGTTTCCTCCACTCTTGCATTTATATACAGCATTCTTTGTGATACTTCTTCTGAAGAAACCTGGAAGAAATAGCACAGCATCAACAACCGAATAACTGAAAATGTTCAATATGCCACACATTTCACATATAGTATACTATAATGTTGCAGCAGGATCCAGATTTTTGATAGAATGTCATGTAGTGACCCAACACAGAAAAAACTGAGAAAGCTAAAAGTGACAAAACATAGAAATTTATTAATATTACCATGAACAGCAAAGCCCAAACAGTATGCATTTCTAACATAGGTTAGAAACAAAATCTGGTTTCTAAATATTTTTTGAATTTAGTTGCATTTTATGTAGTCTAGTCTTGGTCATTTTTTCCACCTTTTTACATTTTTCATGGTATTACGAGGATAGAAATTGCATTTTATTATTGACATTTAGCTTTGTTTTTTAGCATTGCACCCTTATCAGAACAGATCTGAAATCCATTTTTGTGAGTGACACAGAGAGTGACAGATCAGATGGCAAGAATAGACATATAAAAGCATTCAAGAGCATATTTCATTGCTTAATAATTTTCTCTATAACCATTCAAATTCAAATTGCTTTATTCGCATTACATACTTTTGTACGTATTGCCAAAGCATTACAGGGATTATAATCAAACTATTCTCTAATTCTGAAAACCATAAAAAAGAAAGAATAGAAGCAACAGTGGCCATACAAGTCTAAACTCTTTGTAAACACAGATCAAGGAATAGGTTCAATGCAGCCCATGTAACGTATGGTGTAATGTTTAAGACATTATGTTCAGTATTGTAATACTGATACTCTTGGATGCTCGATTTTCAGTTCTAGGCAGCAGACAAACATGTGCAGTTGTTTTTGGAACAGGTAATTATTCCAGCACGAGCACAATGACACACATTAACTTTGCATGGCGGCGTGTGGCTCTGGTTGCCTACATCATTATTCAGCAGAAAGCTGAGAGGGAACCCAATCCAAACTGAACGTGAAGGAGCACCAAACCTAGCCAAGCCTGTGGGACTTGGGACACATAGCCCAGCATCTGCCCTTTGGACATTGTCCATGCACAGGTGGAATTACACTTGCAGTCATTCAGCCAATGATTTTCCAAAGAGCTAAATTTGGCGCATGGCTTCCATGTCAATTATTACGTCCTTCATAAGCTATGTAGCCATGGATACAATGTAATACCAGGTGCACTATGATATCTATGAAGGTTCAAGGGTGAACAAAGAGGTCACAGAACAAAGGGGCAGCTGTACATTGTAACAGTATATATATATATTTATATATATATATTAATTGCAAAGCGATATATGGCCTTTAAAGTTAAATGTGCAATTTCTAGACCTCTAGCAACCAATAGCCCCGAACTCATGACATTGGTTGTTGCTATGTCAGACTTGTTGGAAAAATAAAAAATATAAAAAAAAAAAAAAAAAAAAATCCATTGCCAAATGATGAGAATAGTTAATAATAAATTAATGTAAAACAATTTTTGCAAAAGATTTTTGATGACTTTTAATGTCTTATTAGACCCATCATATATGCAATCCAATAATTCGCTAAAAATATACAACACTAAAACAACATTTTAACATATTTCATCATTTAATTGGTTATTTTTTATACTATTTTAATTACATGTTGTCATATAAACCTTTCAGTAACTATACTGATCTCACATATATAGTTAAACTCTATGTGTTTGATTAACTAAAAAGACTCATTGGTGTAATTTGTTTGGGAATCAGACTACCCTTACAAAAGTTTATTCAAGTGTGCAATTAGTATACTTCTTTTAAATTAAAAAATAGGAAAGTACTTTTCAGAAATGTGCTTTATGTACTACTCATAAATATACTTAAAATGACATTTAAGTATAATTATACTTAGAAAAAGCCTATATATTTGAGCTATACTTGTGCTCCGGGAATCCATGTTTTCATTGTTATGCTGTAGAGGGCGCTAATACACATCTACTGTACAGAATTTCCTAAACACAAGCGAAGAAGAAACCGAAACAACACACGTATTCTAACATGATCATCAGACATAAAACAGCATCAAAACTGTGTAACGTTATGGAATGAAATGTCGACCCATGAAGAGCTTTGGGGTTTTGATTGACTCCATCTACGTTTTTATTATCATTCTGAATCCAATTCTTCTCAGCTTCTTTGTTCAAAATGTTGTTTATTTCTTAATTTGTTTTATTTATGAAACTTACCCACATTTAAGTGTTTATAAAAAAAAGAATGCATGATGCTAGAATAAAATGTTTTGTTTACAAGCAGATACCCTATTCTTTCTTTTGATGTTTTGTATGTTCAGATATTTATATAGCAAAATATATACAAATTAATACCTAAATAGGGACATAGTACTGTAGACTGTAGTATACTTAAAGTATGATGTAAAGTTCACTTAAAGAAAACTTACGAGTATACTTGCAGTATAAAACTACTAAACTAGTAGTTTACTGAGACTATACTTCAAAGTGTACTAAAAATGCTACAATTATTTAATTAGTAAACTATCAGTATACCTATAAGTTCACTTTTAGAATAGTTGCAGTATAAACTAAAAACATATATGTAAACTAGTTTTGTACTCAAAGTTTACAACTGTTATACTTAAAGTACACTTAAAAGTGTACTAGAAAGTGGGCCAATTTAGTCCCAAGGAGTACAAGTATACTACTAGTACACTGATATTTATATACTTACTATATAAAGTATACTTAAAAATATACTTGATCTTTACTTAAGTATACTTAATAAAATAAACTTGAAGTATACTTCTTTTTGGTAAGGGTACACGGGTTGCGCTGTATTTTTTTGATTCACTAAAAAGAGCTCATTAGAGTCAACTGTTCGTGAATCAGGCTACACTGGTCACACTGTATGGATTTGATTCACTACAAAAAAGTGCTCTTAAAATTTATTTGTTTGGGAATCAGACTGCACTGTTAAATCGGTATGATTTCTTTTTTTATTTACTAAAAACATTCAACACATTAGATTCATTCATTTGTGAATTGGACAACATTTGTCATGCTGTATGGTTATGATTCACTAAAAAATCCACAAAGATTCATTTGTTATGTAAGTGAACTACTGGTCACGCTGTAAGGTTTTGATTCCCTAAAAGAATCAGCTTATACGATTAATTTGTTCAGGAATCAGACTGCAGGCGCTGTTTGCTTTACACTGTTGATTCAGGAAGTAGTGCAGGAATCTCTGACAAGAGTATTTAAAGGGGTCATATGATGTTGCTAAAAAGAACATTATTAGGCCAAACAAAGTAGTTTCGCTTTCACAACGAAACACAGCGTCACACACGGCGGCCTAGAGTGAGCGCCGGCGGCCTAGAGTGAGCAGAGACCGGGGGGTAGAGTGAGAAACGGCCGGAGGGCTAGAGTGAGCGGTGGTCGGTGGGCTTGAGAACAGCGCGGCCGGCGGATTCGACGAAGGAGCGTCCGGAGGGCTTGCGGCAACCACATGTG